GATCGGAAATTGTTAATTTGGCCAATTTAACACAAAGTTCAAAATATTCCAATTTCAAAATAGGGTCCAGAATAAACAATGTAGGTATTCCTGGAACTAAACTAACATTTCCTCTGTTCATTAGTTACGTTTTGAGGCTTTACAAATAAATTCCATTTTGATTTTTTATTCCATAATGAATTTTATTCACACCAAAAAATAGAAGATTTACTGTTATGCAATACTGTAATAATTGTATAAATATCATCACCATATTTGTGAATGCATATTAGACCCACCAGCTGGCATGTATTAGACGTGTGAGGTCATTTGTTTACTCTTGAATATCGGCAAAAATTTAACATTTCTGCTACTTTGAGCTCAGTTTCAAGCCATTTCCAATCAAAATCATCTCTATTTCTGTAATATGTCTTCCATTCTATCAAATGAGACCAAGAAATCGCAAATACAACTATAAAAAACATACGAAAAAACACTGCAAAGTCGCTGTTTTAATTGAAAAATCATGATTTCAGTTTTTTTCTCTCATTATACACAGTGTGCTGCAGGATCTGTTTTATGTGCTGCACACATACCACATAGATGTATTCTCTCATATCTAGGCCCAAATGTACCACTCACAGTTTATCAGAGTGAGCTGAGCTCATGATGTAGATCTACGGTTTGGACCCTGAACGTAAAGCCGTAGATCTACAGGACGGACCCTGAAAGGGTTAAAGTAACCAGTGCACATTCTGTGAGCACGTGACCCGAGCTGCTCACGTTGTTGGTCAACAACAAAGAGAATGTACGAAACCCAGGACATTTTTTTTCTCAAATTCCTCTTTCGAAAACTGATTTGTTCAACAAGTAATGCAGTCGACAACCAAAGTTCCACTGTACTATCTATCTTTGAAATAGCAAGTCTGTCTACTAGTGTCCAGTAGGCCTAATAGTGTTCCTGTTGTTATACTTTATTTTATTAAATCGTTACCATTTTCGTTATCAAAAACAAAGAATTAAACATTCGTTACCATTTTCATTATCAAAAACAAAGAATTAAACATTCGCACACATTCCAGAAATGTTATTATGTATTTATATTACTATGTACCTTAGTCCAGGAAGAGAGCTAAAAGGTAGATAATGAATGAAGCTACAGAAAAGGAGAAGACTGAGTCTTGTACAGTTAACATTCGTGTACCTATTTTTGTAAGATGATCCTCTCTATTTAATATTCATGTAAATACAGTGGAACCTCAAAAATCGAACGTATCACATATCGAACGTTTCGAAAATAGGACCATTTTTTCGGACCGCCGGGTACGGGACCTGTCTGCCGCCCGTTCTGTCCGCATCCCCGCGCAGGCGCCGTGAGCAGTCTAGCTTTGTTTATGCTTGAGTGAACACTAACCTGCGCTCTCATTCACGTATTTTACGATTATTTCGTTGTGTTTAGTGCTTGTGGGACAGTGAAATAAGCTGCCATGGGCCCAAAGAGACTTGCTAGTGGTACCCCTGTGGTGGAGAAAGTGAGAAACACCATAGATGTGAAGAAGGAAATAATACAAAAGTATGAGAGTGGTGTGGACTTGTTGAGCTTGCCAGGAATGTATGGGAAAAAACAAGTGGGACCATCGGTTCTATCCTGTAAAAGAAAGAACAAATCAAGGAAGCTGATGTTGCGAAAGGTGTTAATATAGGGAGTGGATGAGGTGCCTTCTTCAAAGTTTAAAGGAGATTTGTACCAAGTGGAATGATGGCCAAAAGTTTGTGCATAAGTACCACCTGAGCAAGCTGAAACAAGCCCATCTTTGCAACAAGTTCAGTGACAGAACCATGTCCCATTTTAGGAAATGTTAAAGAGGTGCCAGAAACAGAGGACTGTGGACAGTTATTTTGTGAGACGGGTCCAGTGACTCTCAAGCTGGTCCTAGTGGCATTAAAAGACAGAGAAGGGAAGTAACCCCAGAGAGGGCTTTACCTGAAGTCCTCGTGGAGGGGGATTCTCCTTCCAAACACTAACCCCAACTCCCTCTCTCCTCCTCCCTATCTTCCAGATGCCATCACCAATCTTCAATAAAGGTAAGTAAAAATGTTATTTTATATGTATTACTATACATAATTAACCCGTAAACGGTCCAAACGTATATATACGTTTTTTCAACATTTGAAAGTATGTAAAAAAGTAGATCTTCTTTTTGTTTTTCTACATTTGAAAATGTGTAAAAAAACTTTGATCTACTTTTGTAGCACTACACATGTGAGCGTAGATCTGCTTGGACCGTTTACGGGTTAAAAACTCTAGTATTTGTTGTATGTAAAACTGTAATTAATCTCTATAAAATGTATTTTTTGTGTGAATATTTTTGGGTTTCTGGAACGGATTAATTGTATTTCCATTACTTCTTATGGGAAATATTGCTTCGAATTTCAGACTTTTCGAATTTAGAACTAGCTCCTGGAACGGATTAAGTTCAATTTTTGAGGTTCCACTGTAATTCAGTTCACTTTATTCCTATTGTATCTTATTTTATTGTAACTGATTTTCACACAGTTGAGTTACTTAGCTGTTTTAATTTTTAAGGTTATAATCATGACTGATTATTATTATATCTTACTGCTATGTTTTAAATAATAAGATATTACAAGGACCCCAATGGAAATAAGTCACTGCACGCTGTCTGTGTACATTCGTGCAGTCTGCTTATGTATGTTTCTGCATGCCATGTACATTCGTTCACTATGCTTATGTATGTTCGTGCACTCTGTTTATGTACAGAGTTATCTTAGGTAAACTACAGGTATGTTACTTAAGTGTATCTATACCTAAATAGACTTATTTACTAATAATCCATTTTAATACCCTTTCAAAGCCCATACTATCTTAATTCCCACATTATCTTAGCAACCCACAATTGTCCTGGCATGGAGGACCTCATTACTGACTGCATGTTAGGAGGGTATTAAGGAAAGTAGGTAGGTCAGTAGGAGGAAAGTGGGTAGGTGAGCAGGAGGGTTATTAGGGAAGTGAGTAGGTGAGCAGGAGGGTCATTAAGGAAGTGGGTAGGTGAGCAGGAGGGTTATTTGGGAAGTGGGTAAGTGAGCAGGAGTGTTATTAGGGAAGTGGGTAGGTGAGCAGGAGGGTTATTAGGGAAGTGGGTAGGTGAAGAGGAGGGTTATTAGGGAAGTGGGTAGGTGAAAAAGGAGGGTTATTAGGAAGTGGGTAGGTGAGCAGGAGGGTTATTAGGGAAGTGGGGTAGGTGAGCAGGAGGGTTATTAGGGAAGTGGGTAGGTGAGCAGGAGGTCATTAAGGGGAGGGTAGGTGAGGAGGAGGGTTATTAAGGAAGTGGGTAGGTGAGCAGGAGGGTTATTAAGGAAGTGGGTAGGTGAGCAGGAGGGTTATTAAGGAAGTGGGTAGGTGGGGCAGGAGTGTTTATTGGGAAGTGGGTAAGTGAGCGGAGGGTTATTAGGGAAGGGGGGTAAGTGAGCAGGAGGGTTATTAAGGGAAGTGGGTAGGTGAGCAGGAGGGTTATTAGGAAGTGGGTAGGTGAGCAGGAGGGTTATTAAGGAAGTGGGTAGGGGAGCAGGAGGGTTATTTGGGAAGTGGGTAGGTGAACAGGAGGGTTATTTGAGAAGTGGGTAGGTGAGGAGAAGGGTTATTAGGGAAGTGGGAAGGTCAGTAGGAGGGTGTCAGGAAAGTAAGAGAGTATTAGCTAAGTTTATTTAAGTACAGGTACACACATGTACAATTATCACACTTAATAATATAAATTAATGAAATCACAAAACAAGTGATTTTGAATCATTAACAGAACTGCAGCTAGCCAGGATTCAATCCTGTGTCACAATGCCCAGGCCTGTGAGAACAGGACAAAGTACGCACCCCTCTCTTTACTTGACGATCAATGGTCAAGTGGACAGAGGAATGCGTTCTTTGTCCCATTGTCACAAGACTGCAAACTGTGATGCAGGATCGAACCCTGGATAGCCACTGTTCTGTTAATGATATGTATGTAAATTACCTAGGTTAACCCCAAAAAAGCCAGACAAAGTGATTTATTCCCTTTGGGGTCCTTGTAATATCTTATTATTTAAAGCCTAGCAGTAAGATATAATAAAAATCAATCATGATTATAACTTTAAAAATTAAAACAGCTAAGTAACTCAACTGTGTGAAAATCAGTTGCAATAAAAGGAGATACAATAAAAATAAAGTGAGCTAAGTTATTTACACGAACATTAGAGAGGATCAGCTTACAATAATAGGTACATGAATGTTAATTATACAAGGACTCACTCTCCTCCCTTTCTGTAGATTCATTCACCAGGTACCTTATAGCTCTCTTTCTGAACTGGCTCAAGCTAGGACAAGGAAGTAGGTGGATCTGACTAGCTTGGGCCAGTAGGCCTGCTGCAGTGCTCCTCATGTGGGTGAGGACAATAAGGGAACACTGTATCAACATTCAGTGTCAGATTATTCAACATCTTAGCAGAAGAGATCAGACACACTGCTGGAACAAGTGTAGAAGCCTTCAAGAGGAAACTCGATAAATATCTTCACTAGGTGCCAGATGAACCAGGCTGTGATGGATATGTGAGGCAGTGGGTCTCCAGCTGCAACAGCCTGGTTGACCAAGCAAGCACCAGACGAGCCTGACCCATGGCCGGCCTCCGAGAGTAATGAAACTCGAAACTCATCAAAGGTAAGGTAGGTAGGCAAGTAGGAGAGGAGCACTACCCTGGGTCCACCTGGATATGTTGGGCATGTTTACTTACACCTACTGCCCCTGTTCACCTAGCAGTAAGTAGGTACCTGGGTGTTAGTGGACTGGTATGGGTCGCATCCTGGGGGACAAGACTGAAGAATCACAATGGAAATAAGAGGCGACACATCCTCGACCACACACTGACTTCCCTGGGTAGCTAACCCTCCACATCCCCCGGGGGGGGGATGATGGGTAAAGGAAAATGAAAATCTCAAACCAATATTATGGGTTTAAGGAGAAAGTTTTACTCACCTAGAGTGAAATAACCACTGACAAGAGGACCCTCCACGCTGGCCAGCACTACGTGCAGTCCCGTACGCTTGCTCCTGTACTTCACCACCGGCACCTCACTGTTGGCGAGGAACTCACAGATGAACTCATAGTTGTGAGCGAGGGAGGCGTTGTTAGGCTGGTTGTTAGGCTGGTGATGGTGGTGGTGGTGGTGGTTGTTGTTGTTGTTGTAGTGCGGCGCCGCCATCACTGCTGACCACATAGAAAACGGCGCTCTCAGCACTAGCTCATACACCCCTATAATACAACTCTCAGTAATACAGCCCTATAATACAACTCTCAGTAATACAGTCCTATAATACAACTCTCAGTAATACACCCCTATAATACAACTCTCAGTAATACAGTCCTATAATACAACTCTCAGTAATACACCCCTATAATACAACTCTCAGTAATACACCCCTATAATACAACTCTCAGTAATACAGTCCTATAATACAACTCTCAGTATACACCCCTATAATACAACTCTCAGTAATACACCCCTATAATACAACTCTCAGTAATACACCCCTATAATACAACTCTCAGTAATACACCCCTATAATACAACTCTCAGTAATACACCCCTATAATACAACTCTCAGTAATACACCCCTATAATACAACTCTCAGTAATACACCCCTATAATACAACTCTCAGTAATACACCCCTATAATACAACTCTCAGTAATACAGCCCTATAATACAACTCTCAGTAATACACCCCTATAATACAACTCTCAGTAATACAGCCCTATAATACAACTCTCAGTAATACAGCCCTATAATACAACTCTCAGTAATACAGTCCTATAATACAACTCTCAGTAATACAGCCCTATAATACAACTCTCAGTAATACAGCCCTATAATACAACTCTCAGTAATACCCCCTATAATACAACTCTCAGTAATACAGTCTATAATACAACTCATCAGTAATACACCCCTATAATACAACTCTCAGTAATACCCCCTATAATACAACTCTCAGTAATACATCCTATAATACAACTCTCAGTAATACACCCCTATAATACAACTCTCAGTAATACACCCTATATATATAAATCTCAGTAATACAGTCCTATAAATACAACTCTCAGTAATACACCCCTATAATATAACTCTCAGTAATACAGTCCTATAATACAACTCTCAGTAATACACCCCTATAATACACTCTCAGTATTACAGCCCTATATACAACTCTCAGTAATACACCCTATAATACAACTCTCAGTAATACAGTCCATAATACAACTCTCAGTAATACACCCCTATAATACAACTCTCAGTAATACACCCTATAATACAACTCTCAATAATACCCCTATAATACAACTCTCAGTAATAACAACCCTATAATATAAACTCTCAGTAATACAACCCTATAATACAACTCTCAGTAATACAACCCTATAATACAACTCTCAGTAATACACCCCTATAATACAACTTCAGTAATACACCCCTATAATACAACTCTCAGTAATACAACCCTATAATATAACTCTCAGAATACAGCCCTATAATACAACTCTCAGTAATACAGTCCTATAATACAACTCTCAGTAATACACCCCTATAATACAACTCTCAGTAATACACCCCTATAATACAACTCTCAGTAATATACCCCTATAATACAACTCTCAGTAATACAACCCTATAATACAACTCTCAGTAATACAACCCTATAATACAACTCTCAGTTAATACACCCCTATAATACAACTCTCAGTAATACACCCCTATAATACAAACTCTCAGTAATACACCCCTATAATACAACTCTCAGTAATACAACCCTATAATACAACTCTCAGTAATACAACCCTATATATCAACTCTCAGTAATACAACCTATAATACAACTCTCAGTAATACACCCCTATAATACAACTCTCAGTAATACAACCCTATAATACAACTCTCAGTAATACAACCCTATAATACAACTCTCAGTAATACAACCCTATAATACAACTCTCAGTAATACAACCCTATAATACAACTCTCAGTAATACACCCCTATAATACAACTCTCAGTAATACACCCCTATAATACAACTCTCGGTAATACAGTCCTATAATATAACTCTCGGTAATACACCCCTATAATACAACTCTCAGTAATATAACTCTATAATACAAAGGCGAGAGTAGAAACATTGGGCGTGTTTCCTTACACCTGTTGTCCATGTTCACCCATCAGTAATAATAGGTACCTGGATGTTAGTCTACTGGTTGTGGTCGCATCCTGGGACAAAACTGACTTAATTTGCCAGAAATGCTCTACATAACAAGCGACTTTCTATGTAGTAGTGTCATTAATGTCAGGTAGGACTGTATACCTTGTACATGTACTTGTACAAATAAAGATATTATATTACATAATTTTTTTCTGTTATAAGCATACCTTGCTAAAATATAATGTTTTTGTAATATTTTGTGTGACCTAATTCATGTTTGTTTAAATAACTCATTACGACTTTAACCAGATATAAACATGTACACAGCTCATTACTGCGGTAACTTGTTCAGCTATCAGAACTTTGTGGTCCAGTTCCTGGACTCATTATTACTGCGGTAACTTGTTCAGCTATCACAACTTTGTGGTCCAGTTCCTGCACTCATTATTACTGCGGTAACTTGTTCAGCTATCACAACTTTGTGGTCCAGTTCCTGCACTCATTATTACTGCGGTAACTTGTTCAGCTATCAGAACTTTGTGGCCCAGTTCCTGGACTCATTATTACTGCGGTAACTTGTTCAGCTATCAGAACTTTGTGGTCCAGTTCCTGCACTCATTATTACTGCGGTAAACTTGTTCAGCTATCACAACTTTGTGGTCCAGTTCCTGCACTCATTATTACTGCGGTAACTTGTTCAGCTATCAGAAACTTTGTGGTCCAGTTCCTGCACTCTTATTACTGCGGTAACTTCTTCAGCTATTAGAACTTTGTGGCCCAGTTCCTGCACTCATTATTACTGCGGTAACTTGTTCAGCTATCAGAACTTTGTGGTCCAGTTCCTGCACTCATTATTACTGCGGTAACTTGTTCAGCTATCAGAACTTTGTGGCCCAGTTCCTGCACTCATTATTACTGCGGTAACTTGTTCAGCTATCACAACTTTGTGGTCCAGTTCCTGCACTCATTATATACTGCGGTAACTTGTTCAGCTATCAGAACTTTGTGGTCCAGTTCCTGCACTCATTATTACTGCGGTAACTTGTTCAGCTATCACAACTTTGTGGTCCAGTTCCTGCACTCATTATTACTGCGGTAACTTGTTCAGCTATCACAACTTTGTGGTCCAGTTCCTGCACTCATTATTACTGCGGTAACTTGTTCAGCTATCAGAACTTTGTGGTCCAGTTCCTGCACTCATTATTACTGCGGTAACTTGTTCAGCTATCACAACTTTGTGGCCCGGTTCCTGCACTCATTATTACTGCGGTAACTTGTACAGCTATCAGAACTTTGTGGCCCGGTTCCTGCACTCATTATTACTGCGGTAACTTGTTCAGCTATCAGAACTTTGTGGCCCGGTTCCTGCACTCATTATTACTGCGGTAACTTGTTCAGCTATCACAACTTTGTGGTCCAGTTCCTGCACTCATTATTACTGCGGTAACTTGTTCAGCTATCACAACTTTGTGGTCCAGTTCCTGCACTCATTATTACTGCGGTAACTTGTTCAGCTATCACAACTTTGTGGCCCGGTTCCTGCACTCATTATTATTGCGGTAACTTGTTCAGCTATCACAACTTTGTGGTCCAGTTCCTGCACTCATTATTACTGCAGTAACTTGTTCAGCTATCACAACTTTGTGGTCCAGTTCCTGCACTCATTATTACTGCGGTAAACTTGTTCAGCTATCACAACTTTGTGGTCCAGTTCCTGCACTCATTATTACTGCGGTAACTTGTTCAGCTATCACAACTTTGTGGCCCGGTTCCTGCACTCATTATTACTGCGGTAACTTGTTCAGCTATCACAACTTTGTGGCCCAGTTCCTGCACTCATTATTACTGCGGTAACTTGTTCAGCTATCACAACTTTGTGGTCCAGTTCCTGCACTCATTATTACTGCGGTAACTTGTTCAGCTATCACAACTTTGTGGCCCGGTTCCTGCACTCATTATTACTGCGGTAACTTGTCCAGCTATCAGAACTTTGTGGCCCGGTTCCTGCACTCATTATTACTGCGGTAACTTGTTCAGCTATCAGAACTTTGTGGCCCGGTTCCTGCACTCATTATTACTGCGGTAACTTGTTCAGCTATCACAACTTTGTGGTCCAGTTCCTCCACTCATTATTACTGCGGTAACTTGTTCAGCTATCAGAACTTTGTGGTCCAGTTCCTGCACTCATTATTACTGCGGTAACTTGTTCAGCTATCAGAGCTTTGTGGTCCAGTTCCTGGACTCATTATTACTGCGGTAACTTGTTCAGCTATCAGAACTTTGTGGTCCAGTTCCTGCACTCATTATTACTGCGGTAACTTGTTCAGCTATCACAACTTTGTGGTCCAGTTCCTGCACTCATTATTACTGCGGTAACTTGTTCAGCTATCACAACTTTGTGGCCCGGTTCCTGCACTCATTTTGTGCCTCTGTAATCTGACTACAACTTACACCATAAAAAAAATAAAAAAAATGTTTATTTCTTTGCTAAGGTTACAATGTGTATTTACATATCATAATAAGATTGGAGCAAAGAAAGCCACTATCACCCGGGTATGAGTGGCTAAAACTCCCGCTTCACACACGGAGGGCCCGGGTTCGATTCCCGGCGGGTGGAAACATTTCGACACGTTTCCTTACACCTGTTGTCCTGTTCACCTAGCAGCAAATAGGTACCTGGGTGTTAGTCGACTGGTGTGGATCGCATCCTGGGGGACAAGATTAAGGACCCCAATGGAAATAAGTTAGACAGTCCTCGATGACGCACTGACTTTCTTGGGTTATCCTGGGTGGCTAACCCTCCGGGGTTAAAAATTCGAACGAAATCTTATCTTATCTTATCTAACTGGAACAGATGTATCAACAGGTGAAGGAGTTAGAGGAAGCTTGACGAGAATTTTGGCTACAGAGAGGAAAACAAGAGGATTTGTAATAGTCGTCCTATGGTGAATCCTGAGGACAAAGATGGAAGCTGGGCAGTGGAGGAGAGGAAAGGCACGAAGTTCAAGATCAAAAGGAAGGATGGAGAGTTGGAAACTGTTGTTGTCACTGAGAAATCCTTTGATGTCCTGATGAATGTTGAAACAACAAGAATGTTGCCTCAGAAAGGTAAGAACATTGTTCATGATAGTGAATCACAAATCACGTACGAGGACAGGGCCTTTTGTTTTAGAGGTAGGAAGAGAGGCAGAGGGTTGCTCCTAGAGTTGGGATGCATTAGCGGCCCGGTCTGTGACCAGGCCTCATGGTGGATCAGGGCGTGATCAACCAGGCTGTTACTGCTGGCCGCACGCAACCCGGCGTACGTAATGGGGTCAATCCTATTATCCGCCTCGGTGCTGCAGGCACCGTAGGCAAATGTAGAAGTGAGGATTAGATTAACAGGTATACGTCAGTGATAGAGGAGACGGGTTGGAAACGAATGGTTGTCCAGGGGAATTGGTGCTTATTACTGGCTGGACAAATACTGTAAAGACTCTACAGTATTATTCTTTGGCAACTGGGATCACTTTACCTGGAGTTTACCTGGAGAGAGTTCCGGGGGTCAACGCCCCGCG